TCTATCCAATAAGGGCTGTGCCGGTTAGGCCAAGAGGAAGGAAAGCAAGGCGCTGCAACGTTAAGCCAACAGACAAGACGCTCGGAAGAGCGCTGACTTGGGGTCACCAACACCAACAAGCGCATCGCGTTTACGCTCGTTGGGCAAACTTCTTGTTCCCCACTCTCGTATAATAAGTCTACTGTTTCTAGAAATCAAGGAGGGCAACTTGGGGGTGCTTTCGAAGGATGATGTGAAGGATCCATTGGGCTTACGAAGTTCTCGTATTAGCCGCGCCCCGTGGTCAGCACGTGCTGAATATCATCATCATGCTGTGACCACTGTTGGCCACATTGCGAAAATGCGGCCACCCACAACGGCGTGGTGAAAGAAGAATCTGTGGTGACATTACTCTGGCCTGGAAGGGGACCTATTGATGGCGGATACTTCCCTGCTACCAACGCCGCCATGCGAGGGAGCATATCACACGGGTAAGGCTCTCAGAGCACCAACACTACCAACACTATTCGGTGGCTTAGCCTAGGGCGATTTTATTCTCAAGAGATGTCCAGTGGCATTGGCGGGGGGACGTCCAGAAACACCCCCACTACAGTTGGACCAAAGTCTCGAACCATTTGGGCTTGAAGGATAATAGCAAGTGGAAAAAGGGTGATACGAAGGAGATTTTGGAACGGAACTACGGAACAGAAGAAAAGTCTTTGACGATCATCCGCGCCTGCCATAAATGGTGTTCAAATGTTGGCAGATGAAGGATTCTTGGGGGTTGCGGGTTGGGCCCGTCAGGTTGGCAGGGTTGTTGTCCCTTTCCCCGAAAGCCGCCCCCAAGGCTTGAGAGAGCCAGCTTGAGGACGGGCAAGGTCCAACAAAACGTCTCGCCGAGGATCCTCAGACAAGGCCCTCGGCGGTCGTCTTCAAGAATCGTCGGCCCGTCCCATATCTCCATTGACCATCAGTTGATCACCAACTCTTTATAGGTTGGACCAACTATGTTCTTTAGCCCCTGGCGCCCGCTTCAGAGGGGACACATGGTGGCCTGTTTGGCAGACCTTGTGGCGCTTGCAGTGGGCTGAGGGTGACATTACACTTTGTTCACCCGGCTCATCATGAGATCCGATCACATTTTGGGCTTGCAGGATCAGAGGGGGCGAAGAGAAGAGAAACAAGCGGCATTACTATCCCAGCTAGAGAAGTACAGAAAGCCGAGAAGAAGAAAAAATGTAGAAACGCGAAAGATGGAGAGTAAAGGAGAACGAGAGAAGGCGAGAAAAAAAAAAAAAAAAAAAGACTCAGAGCGAGAAAAAACGACCCACCCTCCACCGCACTTTCTTTTCCCTGTCTTCGCACTTCGCCAAACGGTGGAAAGAGAGACGAGATGGACAAGAATAGCAGCAGCGAGCCAGGACCCACTCAGCATCATGACGCGGGGAGGGTCGTACGCCGATCCCACTACCCACCCGCCTGCAGCTCTGCACCTTTCCCGGGTTGGATGCGATGCGATGAGAGGGGTTGTGAAGAAAAATGGTGAGCTTGAGCACACGATGACAAGGCAAAAATCACACAGTAGAACGCAAAGACTCGATTTGTCTTTGCTCGCCCAACCTTTTGGTCAAAGCCGATCATTCCGCAGTTTAGGAAACACCCTAACCATACTTCCAGCCCGCCCACTGAAACCGAACCGAACTATCCGCCCCGATCTACTGGAGGAGGCAGAACATTTGAATAAACTGTCATCCCGAAACGAGAGCCCGCCGAGCCTATCCCCGAGCCACTGCAGCCCAGGGTGGTTGATTCTATTTTAGCCTCAGAGGGAGGGTTGATAGTGTCGTACACGATTTCGCAAACCGAGACCAGACGAGATGAAAAGGGACTGTGTCACTTTAGACAACAGAGGGAAACCCGGGATTGTCGTGGCCATGTGAGTTTCTCAAATGGGCTATTTTTGTCGGGCAGGGGTCTAAAAGGATAAAGAGGAACAAAAGAAGAAGACAATAATAATCAAGGGACAACTCATGGGGCTCCTCCTGGGTGGAGAGGAGCCCTGCAAACACACCACAGGTATTGCTCTAGAACTGGCGTCCAATTGCACCTTGGGCGGACCCGTTAGTGGCACGCTTCTATCTTCCAGGTCATCGTCCATCAATCGGTCAGTGGCACGAATTGGGCTTGAAAGACAGGGATGAGACTCTTTCGGAAAGGGACGCTTACTCGCGAGGTCCGCCCGTTCCGTTATTGACGTCGACTAGAGTTAAGCTTTTGTATTCTTACTTTTTTCTTCCTTCTAGCCCGCTCCCCAACAAGCAGGCGGGGGTTACGAGAGGAATACCTGCACTAGACGACAGAGCTCTGGATCAAGGCCGAGGGAATGGCGAGAAAAACGAACCTCCCGGGATTCTAGGTTCCGTGGGGCGCCCTCAAAGAAGAGATCGTAATGCTTCCCGTGCGTCTGGGGCTGACAGGGCCCAGCCAGCACAAGCGCAGGGCTGCTGCAACGCTCTCCATCTAATACTTGTTCCATGACCCTCCTCGGGCAGATCGGATTCAGACAGCATCGTTTAAGGGACTGGCGAAGCTGACACCGTCCATGTAGGTACCATGCCCACTTTTCCTCGTACAGGCGTGAGGCGGTGGACGCATTCGTGGGTGGGACGCACAATGCACGGAGGAGTAATCCCTGCCTCCGTCGCTGACAGAAGCATCGTGGACACACCCACGTCCGTCGTCCGTCCACATCCACGGCCACATCCACCTAATCCTTAGAACCCAGGTCAGTGGTGCTTGCTCATCTTCTCAACAGCAATGGCGGAGAAAAAGAGACAACCTCCACGCGGGCCTTGGGGGTTATCACGGAGCCAAGCAAATAAGATTGTGTGATAGTTGGGGTGTGCGCCACCTCTTCCAGGCTCTCTGCATAATAGTGGGCATAATCCGGATTAGTTTGTCCGTGTTTGATATGGAATCATCCCAGGACTCGTAGGCTCATAGGCTCGGCGAGGGCGCTAATAGGCAGCACGTCGCCTTCAGGAAATCGCGGCGGCCCACCGCTCGTCGTTTGGCTGGCTGATTCCAATGGGCCATGTCCTAAACCACGGCACGACCACGAGCCGCGGCGTTGAGCAGCGAGAAAAGGCCGACCCTGTAAAGAAGACCCCTATCCATCTCGTGGTTTGGGGCTTGGTCCATGATGGGACATATCTTCCAGCTCTCAACCCCGCTACGCGCAGAAGAAGAGACTGGGTGCCTATACTAATAAAAGGGGAGAGTAATAACCTCCCTCTGGTCCCCCGATGTGTTCTCAATGAGGACGTAAATGTTTCAATCGCGGCGTGAATTATGAGCTGAATGGCCCGTGTTGAGTCGGATTTGGCAAGACTTTGCGAGCTCAGCATCGACTAGTTACAAAACAAATTGATTCCACCAATTCATGTCCTGAGTCGGAATGATCGTCCAATCATACGCGGAAGACCTAAATGCGCGCGGCTGTACCAGCAATTCATCGCTGCTCACACATGCAACCGACATGACACTTGATATTGCAATGGATGTATTCCATGAAGTCGAAGGGCCCGCCCGGACGCGGAGACAAGGGCACTAGATTTGATCGCGTTTCGAGTAATTCAGAGCAATTCAATCTCTTGATGTATAAACGTATGCTCTACATGACACCAAACCAAGCAGGCAGGCAAAAAAACTTCCTTTGGGGGTTTGCTTTTGGCTGCACACCCCAGCGCCCTTGCCTTGGGACGTTGAATGCTCATTTGAGGAGCCTGCGCCTAGTTCGGTTTCTTTGTCCTCGTGGACCTGAATTTTATCTGGTCAGCGCCTCGGGGCGAGCGATTGTTTCTCCTAGACGGACTGTTCAATCTGTCGGATGCTTTAGGAACGGGATGCTGGGAGATGGAGATAATAGGGCTTGGCTGTAGGCACGAGGCACTGCTCGGAGGTGGCACACTAATCCACAGGCGAAGCAGTCAGGCCGGCTCCTCCGCTACCCCTCCGCCGACCTTCTGCCCCGTCAGCATTCTACAGCTCTTCGGCGTCCGTCCTATGAGCACTGAGGGAAACAATCTGATCCATGGATTTCAACGATCTGTATGTGCCTGTCTACTATGTCTGGCGGGGTATCACGTCCATGGATGTAATCAGAAAAGCAGACAACACAGCCCGAGGAAGTGGAAAGCTTTCGCTCTTTTTCTAATGGTTGCTTATTCCTCCGTCGTCGTATCCGGAGAAAATAGGGTCTCCCGCTTCGCACCACCATCTTCTGGCCCCTTATGTACCCGACAGCGGTTGACAAGACGAAAAGTTTCGGTTAATGCGATGAAGAATACCTACGATCCAGGAACAAGGGAGGGGAGGAGGAGCAAAAGAAGAAAAAGGCCGAGGATGTGGTTACTGGCGGCTACGAGCAGCAGGGATTCCTTCTCTCCTCCTCTCCCAATGAGGGAACTGGAGGGAGGAGAATGGGGAAAATCGCCGTCTTCCAGTGTCCTTGTCCACGAATCATCCTCGGCACATCACTGAAGGGGGAGGTTGAAGGGTCACCGAGGACGGGAACGGGCTCCTCAGAATGGGAGTCGACCTATGGGCGTGTGCCCAACGGCGAATGACGTGTGTGATTTGAGGCACCGCCGAGGCCATCGCGGACTTCTCACGTTGTGCGAACTCTGGGAGCCCTACCCCGTCTACTGCGCCGGCAAAAGCCGTGATGGGTGCAAGCAGTCGGCGATCCTTGATACGGGCGGATATGAGAGATTCACTCCTGCCGGTTTCATCTGATCAATTGCTTCTGCACCTATCCCCTCCAGTCTCGTGCCCCGTTTAATTCTTCCTCGACATTGCCTCCCGACCCGGGAGGCTATACCTGGAGATGGAATCGCCGAGGTCATCTTCATTGGAGACTTTCCGCGAGGCCGTTCCCATTCGGGTTCCGGCCGGTGAGGGAGTGGCACCAATTGTTCGGACGCGCTGGGGCAAGTGTGGCACATACGGAGCGGAAGGGCATGGCTCGACGCCAGGTTCTTTACGATCTTCATTTTCATGTCAAGGTGGGTGGGTGTCGCTCGATGTCTGTGCGCCATGTCTAGTTGATGGCCAAGGATCAGCCTGAGCTTATCCATCAATTGATCCTTCAGGTGGCCCGAGGGGAAAAATCCCCATTGAAGGAAGCAGGGTCCTCTCCCCTCTCGTGCCCGCATCCGGGGCCCGAGCTTGCCCCCTGTGGCAGGGACCAACATGCGACGGTCCCTGTATCAAACACGCCCAAAAAGTTTCACGAGCCCGAACCCCTTCCTGAACAACGTCCATTAGCTCTCCTTTTTTTTTTTAGCAACCGCCTTCTTCCACCTCGCAGACTTACAGAGAAGAAAAACGAAAGAGTCAAGGGGTGGTTGGAACTGGGAATTACGCTCACCGCACCTTTGGTTTCCTCTCACGCCTTGGCCCCTCTTCAGACCACCCTCTTTTTGCCGATGTTTAGTGTTTTAGTCTGTGCCTGTCTGTGACTTACATACATCCATAGATGCAGTCTATCCAGCAACAGCTGCTTTCTCCGCGGTGAAGCTGGGCGACGTTTGAGAATGTCCAACTTATGAACAAACGGGATCCCCCTTCCATTCCCCCAGGCCTGGTACAGAAACGAAACTCTTTGTGAAAACCAATGTTGTCTCCTTCATTTCCTTCTCTCTCTTCCATCTCCCTCCTCTGGGTAACCTTCGCCCCCTCACCCCCTGTAAACGGATATCTGAGATGAATTGAGACCGACGACGATTGCTCGTGAACTGAAATCCCTCCAAACAAACGAAACCGACTTCCTAACCTAGCTATCTCTCTCTCTATCTCTCTCTCTCCCTCCACGACAGCTCCCCCGCCACCCCGCCCAGCTTAATCCCACTCCCATCAACCATGTTCTCCGGCCTCGCGACGAAGCTCGCCTTGAAAAAGGTCGGCCTCTCGGCCGATAGCTTCAACTTCTCCTCCCCGCCGCGGACCCGGCGCCGAGCGAGTCCAAGGCCAAGGGCGGCAAAAGTAAGAACAACGGCGCGGATGCCGACCCCAACGGCGACTTCAAGGACGACGACGAGCAGGACGCCTCGCCCTGGCCCGCGTGGATGACGGTCAAGAGCCTGCCCCTCTCCGTGCAGCCCTGGCTCGCGCCTCCTCCGCCCCCGATCCCCTCGCCGAGCTCCCCAAGGTGGGCGACCAGGCTCCGATGGACCGCGATCGCAGGATCGCTATCGGCGGTGGGAGGTGCGTCATGATTGTGTTTCTGCGATGCGTCGGCTGCGCTTGTAAGTTCTTGTCTATCCCCCGGCCCCCACCCCACCACCAAAAGAATCGACAACTAACACATCGGCACCCCCGCCTATCCATATAGTTGCCCAAAAGACCTTTCTCTCTCTTCGCACCCTCGCGAACCGCTTCCCCAACGACCTCACCTGCATAGCCGTCTCCCACTCCTCCGCCGCCGCCACCCAAAAATGGGTCGACCTCATGGGCGGCTCCTGGAACGTGCAAATCGTCATCGACGAGGACCGCTCCGTCTACGCCGCCTGGGGCCTCGGTCTCGGCACCGTCTGGTCCGTCCTCAACCCCACCACCCAGATCCAGGCCTGGAAGGAGAAGGGCTGGCTCGGCAACCAGGTCGCCACCGCCATCCAGCGGAAAGGTACCGCCGGCCGCGGCATGGCCAGCTACCAGACGGGCGGCTCCGGCGTCATCGACGTCGAGGGCCCCGTCACCGTCATGGGAAACAAGTGGCAAAACGCCGGAGCCTGGGCCGTGAACGGCAGCGGCGTCATCGTGTGGGGAAGAAGGCGGCCACGGCGGACGACTTGTTGGACCTGGATGATGGCTGCAAGGCCCTTGGCCTGTAGTCCGCTGCTACGTATCCTCTTCTCTGTGCCTGCCTCCGTCTCCCATTTGCTTTTTTCTTCCCTTGTGTTCAATATCCGTCTCTCTTTCTCCATCTTGTAGCCTGCTGTACGAATATCTGGAGTGCGGAGTCCTAGGCGGGATTTTCTGGAGTTTTCTGTCTTTCTCTTTTTTTTTTTTCGCGCTGTCCTCTTACTTTGGCCAACCAGACTTGTCATTTCCTTACTTGCTCGAGAATGCTTTGTTGAAGGGTCCCTCCAAATTTGGTGTATCAGAGTCTATGGTGCGGTGTGTTTATTCTAGTTCCAACATGTAATACACATGAACAAGCCCCCATTCTTCTCTTCATATCGGATTATGTATCCTCTTGCAAAGATCTTCCGCGTTGCGATATGCTTCACATGATATAGTACTGCTAAGTCATGCTAAGGATATACCTCTGTACATGTCAATGATGTAGATGGAGCCTCTTCACGCTCAGAAAGGAAAGGCAACAAGCAGGCGAAAGTCGAGATGTGCGTGCCAACCCTCACCTAGTACTCTGGTGAAGACTGGGGCCTGGGATAAGGACGAAGGACATTCACAAGACAGGCATAAGTCATTCGAAAGGGAAACGATTCTTCCAGGCTCTCCCAGCCAACTCCATCATCTATATACTATCCTTATCAACCGTCGCATCCCTACCTCCTATGGTCTAATCAAACACCCAATTTTACCCGCTCGACAGGTAGCAGAGGGAGCGGAGAAGGGGAAGAAGCCAAGCGAGTGAGGGAAGAGCAAGAGTGAGAAAGAAGGAAAAAAAAAAAGGTAAACAAACTCCCAGAAGAATACTCTTCTTGCACCACCCAAAGTTGCTCCCTGCAGCCCCAATCTTGCCCGGACACCCCCTTGCCTTGCGCTGAAACCTTGCCCATTGAAATTGCCAAGATGCCGTGTAAACCCAGCCGGAGATAAAGCGTGTAAAGAGAAAGCAGAAACTCCGAGCTGAGGAAAACTCCCTCCCAGCCGATATCTGAGCAAGTGCGAGAGAAGACGGCAGACAAGGAATGGAAAAAGAAAAAGAGAGAGAGGGGAAAAAGAAACAACGGTGATGAGCAACGAAAGGGGAACCAGCGATGAGGGGGAGAGAGCCTGCCCTGAGTATTTTGGGCCGCGTAATTAGGGGTAGATAAACATAAGGTACTGGAAGCAAAAGTGGCAAACAAGAAGAAAAACTCCGCCAGATGAACAACTCCGTTTCCATCTCCCAAGTCCCATATCCTTCTCTCAGTAATCAAAGAACAGAACCACGATTCGCCGTGCAAAAGCAGAGGTCCGCTTCTTGCCCCTCCGAGTCCCGCGGGTCTTGAACGAAGGCGTGTGAGTATGTGTGCACACACATGCCTCGTCCGGTGAAGAAAGAATCCAAGAGCCGCAAAAGCAAACAAACAGGCGGCCCACCCATATAAACCTCGCGCCTTGCAACCGAAGCATTCAAAGGAAATGCATGGCCAACACCGGGATATCCGTATTCCTAGCTCACTTTGCCCTTTCCCTCGCGGCAGATGCAGATGGAAAGCCAACCGCCAAAAAACATGATCCGATGCGTGAGGTCAGGGCGTTTCCTGCTCCGAGCCCATGCAACCCAATTTAGCAAGGAACAAGACGCCTACGAGTCTTTTGGTGACCCTCCGTATGCCTCCTGATGAGTGACAAACACTGCCCTAAAAATCGTAACTCCTGCGCAAGATGCTTCTGCTTTGTTTTCGTCGGCGGTCGATTCCTTTGCCAAGTTTTGTTGTCCTTCAAAATGTCACCTCATCCCAATATACCGTGAGCTTTACCAGCCATCCCCAGACCCAAGGTATACGTCGAACTGATCCCATGTGTTTTTCTCTTCGCCGAATGCCGAACAATGAACCGGGTGAAAATGAGTTCCAACACCAAACAAATATATCCGTCAACCAAAAAGAGTAAAAAAAGATTCAGCGAAAAAAAAAAGCACCAGTCCTTCGCCAAATAGCAGAACCCTTCGCCCCATTTCCCCTTCCTTGATATCAATGATTTTTTGGTCTGTAGATTTTTTCCTTGCGCCATCCAAGTGTATGCATACTCACCCAACGTTTGTGATATGCCCGCCCGCCTATCAGAGAAAAAAAGCGAGAGGGGGTGAAAGATAAGAGGGTGGCGTGCCGCCGATTCGTTGAGATATCCACCAGGCTTAAGCCCAGACGCTGGCCTGGCCGCCGAGGCCAGAAGCCTGGGGCCACCCGCCACGGCCCCAACCGCCAGGGGAGGCAAGAGGGGTAGTCGATCGCTTGACGGAAGCGTTGTTGGCAGGAGTTCCGGAAGGCCGGGTGCCAATGGGCGCAACGGTTGCACTGGTCTGGTTCGGCTTCGAGCCGGGTCCGTCCTGGCGCGACGGGGAGCCACCGGGAGAAACCGAGGTGGTCCTGTTGGCGGGCTGGCCGATGGCGCTCTCAAAAGCCGACTTCGAGCCGGGAGCGGCCGACTGGGGGCTGGCCGTGCTGTTGGGGCGGGATCCGATGTCCTGGCTCGCCTGGGTGGCGTCAGCCGAGGCAGCCTCGGCGGGGCATTGCGGCCAACGTCATAAGTCAACGGAGAGGCACCACGAAGGCTGGCCGGGCCGCTATGGGTAGGGACACCGGATCGGACGACGCCATTTTCGTCAACATAACCACCCTTCTCGGCGAAGGGGCCCTCCTTGTAGAGAGCACTCCTCTGGCGAGCAATCAGGTCTCGGGTCTCCTCCTCTGACATGCTCTTAGGTCCGTAGGAAACATCGGAGAGAACAGCTACAGGGATTGCAAGTTAGCCTTGGTTCTCCAACAAGACAACAATCTACACGAGAGAGAGAGAAGGGGAAAGCATTGGACAGCGTAGAGGGGCGCAACATAAGAGGAGGGGACCGCATCGATAGATGGGGGTGGTGAGTAGGACCAAATGCAAGCAGGCGACTGCGTGATCCAGACCCTGATTTCTTTATTTCTGATTTTTTTCTTCTCATTTCCTTTTGCTTCTGGGGTATCTCTCGAGATAGGTGACTTTGTGTGCTATACAGAAGAGGGAGGCCTACTTCGCTGATATTGCTGCTCCGTGTGAAGGTTTCGGAGCTCTCGTTCCCGCTGCGCTGCCATCCGCCTCTTCGCCTGCATCATCTGCTCTGCCTCGCTGGAGCCACGGGAGGGTTGGTGGCGTTGAGTAGCATAGAAGCCTTGGAGGTTCGAGGGCGGGTGGCCTCGGGGGTTGTCGCCAAAATCACTTCCACCATGGGATCGGGAGCCGCCCATTCCAACGGGTCCACGGGGGTCTAATACAGGAATCCTTGTGTCAGCTTCTCATGACACCCATACACGTCCAAGCATTTTTCAATTCATGAGGGAACATATCCCGGACTGAGACGACCGAACCGACCGGCTCTAGGAACACGTTGATACTCACGTCGGGAACCCGCGCCGTATGCCTTTCCGCTCTTGGAAAGGTTCTCGTAGGCTCGCTCAACCTCTATAGAAAGAAAGCCAAAAGATTAGCACAAGGATTGTGGACAAGAGGCCTCTACCCATGATACAGACAAGGCCCGCGAAATTGGGGCCTAGAAGGTGATGAAGAAGTGATAGCATACCATCAAATTGATAGAAAAAGGCAAACTCGTCCTGGGGCGTGGGACCGTTGGCACCCTTGAAAGTGTAACTATCCGAGCCCGTCTCGGATTGTCGAGATGGCGAGCGACCCGACATGCCGCTACGGATAGCAGGCACCTGATGATCCCAGTTGTTCTGGCCCGTGGACCACTGGCCGTTCGAGTCGTAATATGACATGGTGAAAATGGATATTTGAAAGAACACGGGAGAAGAAAGAATCGGTTGTTCGTGTGTAGAGTTACAAGGCTAATCGGTGTCGCTTTCGGGCTTCTGATAGACAAAAGAGTAAGCATCCACTCCACACATGCGCGAGTTGCAAAAGACTGGATTATCTCTATTGTTGGCGTTGATCCAATGCGCGGCTCATCGAGAGTCGTTGACTTGGGCGACGCGCGAAATAAAGACCAGATGAACAAAAATAAAATAAAAAAGTGACACCGAGGTGCCGCGGGATAAGGGGGCCAAGAGGGAAATTTCAACCAAGCCACCAAAAAAGGGAACGGATAGAAATTGAAACAGATGATGAACTGATGAAGAGCAAGCAGGAAATATGGAAGACCAACGATGAATGCACAGTCGAGGACGAACACGTCCGACGCGGAGAGAGATGGCTCGTGAGAAAGGCTGTGCCGTCGCTGGGGGCGCAGAACGCGAGATTCTCAGCTGAGGTTGCGCGAAAAAGGATGGCCCGTCAAGGGAGTATGGAATCGAGGCGCGCAGGAAGGGAATCAAGAAAGATGGTGAGGATGAGATGAAGGAGCCCGTAGAGGAGGGTGGACGGGAGATGAGCAAACTAGGAAAATAGGATAGGGTGGTGAGGTGAGGCGAGCCTTGGGCAGTGGAGATGTTGCCTGGTTCGTTCGGGTTTTTGGCGATATAGGGGAGAAAAGGAAGGGAAGAGAAAAAAATTATTAATGAGATGCGGATGAGGAAGGAACGACGGACTAGGGGGGGCATGTACATTAAGACAACGCTGGGGGTACAATGGAAGTTACCGGCAGGCCAAGACCAAAGGCCAAAAATGGCCGACCAGCCAGCAAAGGGGAGGAACATTGATCAATTTAGTACACGTAGTGTACAGATCGAGAGAGCCTTTTGGCGCCAGGTCGTGGAAAGGAGCAAAAGGAGCATTGGCAACTCAAGGTACCTCCCCAGGGTGGCAGCGCCAAGAACCCGACCGTTTACACACTAAATGGTATGGGGGTGAGGGTATGCGCGTGTACCTCTATCCGCCAATTCCGTGAAAAGTACCCTGGCGGGCCAGACGGTGGATCAAGGGTCGCCCAGCAGCTTGGGGAACAATCGAAGAGTGCAGTGCAGTGCGAGCAGCAACGTGATCAACTGGCCCAGATAGCTCGACTCCTTGCTGGTCGCGATTTCGAGCCGGTGGATCTACTTGTATGTACTGTCGCCGTGATAACGAGAGACGGTGCTTGATGCTTGCTAAACAGGTCGCAGCTATTACCGAGTACTCCGGACCAGAGTGTAGGATGCAAGAGGCTAGCGGAAGGGGATATGAGATGAGTGTAGCAGCTGGCGGGATGCGAGATGAGAGCTGGTGCAGTCGCACTCGCAATTACCAAAGCCTAATCCCTCCAAGACCAGTGGTTTCCGAAAACAATAATGCATTTTATCCACTCCTCGACCATCGCGGTCCCCGCCTGGAAGGACCACAGTGTTCTCTCGAGGCTGGTTCCCTTTGGTTGCTGAGGGAAAGGCCCCTATAATCATATCTCCCTTGCTTCCTTGTCCTTTCATTCGCAAATGCCCCCTTGATATCATCCATCATCACATGGCGACTTGTCAACACAAGCCTCATCTGCCGTCGCCTGCGCCGGCGGGGAGGCGCGGCTTGCATCAAGGGCCCAGGCATCCCTAGGCATCAGAAGCATGTTAGTCTGCAACCCAACAAAACTCGCTTTTAACAACCGGGATCCCGCCCCACGCATTGTCATCTCCTGGCCACGCGAGAGGTTCGTGAGGCAAAGGCAAGATGATGATGAAATGAAGATGAACAGCAAGGTGGACACGAGACACATGGGCCAGTGCGTGGGCAGCACGACAAGTACAGATCCGGTCCGCATTGGAATAGTAACGGTAAAGCTGAAGGACTAGTGATCAACCATAGGAGCCCACCGCACTCGAGTCCACTGGCCTAGCCCTCTGGTGAGAAAGGGCCTTGTGGGGTGGGCCGCCGGGTCAGCCAGTGCTCATCCTGTTTTACTGTCAACGTTGTCATGGCCCATACCAGTCTCAGTATAGACACTGGGCAGACCAAAGAAAAAAGTTCACGGGTCAAGATGCTGCCTCAGCTAGGGGCAGACTGGTTGGTGTAACTGCCGGGACAATCGCCCTTGACTGAGGGCTCTGGGTGAGGGAACCCGACCCGAGGAGCCTGGGCCTTTTGTTCTTTCTTTCGTTTCTTTTTTCCTTTTTTCTTTTCTTTTTCCTTTCTGAATACTTCTCCCGTCTGCCCAAATGTTCTTCGTTCTCCTTTTGATAAAATTGGAGCATCCCCACTTTTGGAACACTCCTCCTACCCCTGGTTTGTGAGCTGGAGAAATTGGGCCTAGCCCGGGTCAATCTCGTGGGAAGCGACGTGGCCAACAATTGCCCCCTCCCCCTTCCGCCAACATTTGCCAACGTGTTGGATATTTGAACAAATCTCCATTCTATCATTCTCTCGTGCAAGCGGGTATTGATGGGATTAAAGAAAAGAATCGACTTGCAGACGAAACCTTTTCCGAGTATGCTGGAAAGGCGGGGGAGGTGAGCATCGGCTTTAGGGATGGAACAAAAATCTATGATCCGGCCCCCTGGCAATTTGGCTAAGGGCGGCTCCAGCCGTTTCTCAAGATGGGATGGATGGGAGATAATAGTTTCTCGATGCGTGTGCACCGATGGACGAAATTCTCCAGGGAAAAAGAAAAAGAAAAAAGGTTGTTTGACGAAGGTTCGATGCACAGTGCGGCCGTTCTACTTGCACGAGTGTAGAACCGACGTGTAATAATAATAATAGCGTGCTCCGTTTCCGTCTCTGCCTCAGACAGTCGGGCCGCCAAGGATCGTTCCATTGGTCACCTCAGGTCCCCAACAGGGGCCCGAAGCTAGAGTCCGGAAACTTACTGAAGGAACAGTGGGGGTAATTAATATCTGTCGGGTCCCCGTACTTGGCTTGGACGAGGAGAGCGACAAAACAGCTTGAGCGTTCAATGTTGTGTGTCGACTGAGGGAATTTCTGGATGGGATGGCCTTTCCCACCCCGGTTCCGGCGAAAAGAGGACGGGACAGACAGCCCTGGGGACGACTGCAAACCAACCCACTATAATGATGACAACCACTATCTACTCGTGACAGCACCTTGGTTCGGTGTCAGTGGTTGAGGTTCCGGTGATCAACGGACCCCTACTCAGTTACAAGTTCGCGTTGTGTTTGACAAGCCTCGGACTTCTGTTCCACCCCTTGACGTTTTTGAGGCAGGAGCAAAGGCCAACTCGGGTTGTCTCCGTCTTTCTCCATTTCCTCCTAGGATACAAGGACTTGCTGACGCAAGTAACGTCTCCAGGACCCTTTTTCCTTGACAGCATGCGCGCCACAGTGCTGAATGCGGCAGGTAGCTTTGCTCAGGCTTGCACTTGTATTATTAGCTGGATCAATGAGATCGATTGAGCTGAGATTCCATCCTCAGTTGACAAGGCTTTTAGCGCAAATGTGACATGAAATGTCCCAGGCACGTTGAGGCACCCAAGAACAAATTATGGCAATGCTCAAGGGCTGTTTCTTCCGGCGCGCTAGGGCCCATTCCATTTTCCCATTCTTTCGCGCAACAGCAGGTGTTACTACAACTGGTGCCGAACCGATGATCCATCTATCCAGGGTGGATGAATTTCAGGCTCAAGGCTGAGCCGTCCCACATCGTGATAACCAGTTGAGGAAGTTGGAGGTAATGAAACCCACTTCCCTAGTCGGTCAGCCATAACAGTATGATGAGCCTCGGTCTCATGAGCCACATAGGCTCTACCTCGACAGCTAGCTTTTCGTGTCTAATGGATCCATTTACCACTTTTGGTGCTCATTTCCTCCACGCGTGCGGGCAAAGGCACGAAGCTAGAACAGAAATCGAGTTCTGATGAGTTGAGCAAGACACACGGAGTGACTATCCCGGCCGTGGCGTGGAATGGAAGTGGAAAGGACCGAATATCCATCCATTAGATGGCTTCCAAGTCGTCCAAGTAATATAGAACAGCCTTGACGTGTTGGCATGATCCCCAGAAATCGAGCCGGCAGAGAGCTGCCACTGCATCAAAGTCATGCAGCCTGGTCGATCTTACAGCGAGCTCTTTCAGTGCCGAATGGGCTTCTCGGCGCCGGCAACGGCTAGGTCGAGTCGATCCCCGTCACACGGTCTTGAAACTTGGTCGCAATAAACGGTTCAATAATTTCTTGGGAGGGTAGACACTTGCCATGGCCCGCCAAAACCCTTTTCTGAGTCGGTAATAGCCTCGGAACTAAATAAAGAAAAAGAAGAAAATAAGGCAAATGCGAGAGGGAGAGAGAGTGAGGAAAGGAAAAATCAAGTCGTGAACCGCCCCCTCTGTGTCAGGGGACCAGGGCTCAAAACCATGACCCGTCTCCGGCTTGATTCAAAGGGCAAGCTTCCGCCCAGCTGGTGGTCCAAGAGGCTGAAGATGGAGATGAAAGGAAGGGATGGCCGCGCTATCAACTCAGAGTGAGTCGATGCCTCCCCCTTGCTCTGCCGTGGACGGAGATCGCGCACCTTTAACGCACGAAAGTGGGTTCTCGGTCGACGTCTGCCAGATTCAAGTGAAGAGAACATTTCATTGCACCCCACGACTGGCCTAGACCCCTTTGGGGCTTTGGGGAGCCGGTTGGAGGGCTCTGGCCCACTCAGCAACCTGCGGCTCTTGGGGATTCTGAATTTCTTCACAACGTAACAGTACATAGGCATGTTCCGTTTGGAGGGAATGGGCGGCAAGCATGGCCTGGCTACAAAGTATGTCGAAAATATGTGGTACCCTCCTTCAATCCCTCTCCTTCCCCGTTACCTCGCAACTGTCGTGTGCAAGGAGGAAGAGGCACGTGTGTGTATGTGTATGTGTATGTGTATGTGTCTGTGTCTGTGTGTGTTCGTGTGTGTTTGTGTGTGTTTGTGTGTG